AACATTTTATGCACATCTGTATGCGTGCGCTCAGGTCCGTTTGGCTTCAGTGCGAGGAACAGTCTATGCACGTCTGTATACTTGCACTCAGGTCCCTTTGGGTTCAGATCCAGGGAACAGTCTATGCACGTCTGTACACGTGCGCTCAGGTCCATTTGGGTTTAGATCCGACAAACAGTCTATGCACTTCTGTATACGTGCGCTCAGGTCCGTTTGGGTTTAGATCCAAGGAACAAGCGTGTCATGTTCCTGGAAGTATGCTGGGAACCAGGTGTCTTTATCTCCTGCGCTTTTAGCGGAGAATAGCCACTTTGCATGCAGCCATCTCTGATCTTTGTGGCCTTTTCTAGTCTCGTCCGCTGGCCCGTGGGCGCATCCTTCTACAGCGCAGGTGGCTTTGACCTTGCGTTCAGGTGACGTTCAGGGTCAGATAGCATTTCTCTCTGGAAATTAGCAACACTGGCCAATCTGTCAAGGACTCATGATCTCTCCAGCTGCAATGCTATGGAATCCAGCAAAGTAAAACTTTGAAATCCTTCATCAGATCCAGGACTCCTCGTAAGTACAGCTCATTTGCCATCGTAACGTGGCAATGTGTTCCTTAGGTAAGAATCTTGTTTCTTGGGGCACCTGGGTGGCTCAGTCAGTTAAGGGTCTGACTTTGGCTCAGGTCACGATCTCGCGGTTCACGAGTTCGAGCCCCGCGTCAGGCTCTGTGCTGACAGCTCAGAGCCTGGAGCCTGCTTCAGATTCTCTGTCCTCTCTCTTTGTCCTCCTCTCTCTCTCTGTCCCTCCCCTGCTTGTGCTCTGTCTCTCTCTCAAAAATAAATAAAAACATTAAAAAAACCCTTTTTTTAAAAGAATCTTGTTTCTTACAAAATTATACCTTAACACACAAGAGACGGTGGTGTCGAGGGGGTGCTGGATAGGACTGTCCAACTACATCAGAACAGAACTCTAATACCTTCATTGGTCCATGCCTTTTTACAATTGTTATTTTTACCAAAAACTATGTTAGTTTCCTCTTCAAGGGTTAAAAAAGTGATACAATTTACCATAACCAGTGAAAAAGTACAAAAACATATCAAGAAAAGAAAAGCACCAGTAATTCCCCCCCCCCCCGCCCCATTCCTGCCCAGCAACCCTTTTGCTTCCAGAGAGGATGACCAAGTCCCCCTGCTCACCGATATTTATTTTCAAATTTGTTTAATGTGTCTTTATTTTTGAGAGAGAGAGAGACACAGCATGAGCAGCGGAGGGGCAGAGAGAGAGGGAGACACAGAATCTGAAACACGCTCCAGGCTCCGAGCTGTCAGCACAGAGCCCGATGTGGGGCTCAAACCCACAAACCGCGAGATCATGACCTGAGCCAAAGTCGGACGCTTAACTGACTGAGCCACCCAGGTGCCCCTCTAATTGCCTATTTTTGTTGGCATTTGAACTAACATTTCTACTTCCCTTAAATGCCAGTTTATAGATGTTCCCCGCATATTCGGGGTATTCAACTTTCTTCTACCTGTTGTGTCCCAAGTCATTTTCCAGTCTGTGGTTAGTCTTTTGTTGATGTCTGCCATTAAAAACTTGTTTATATGTATGTTTCCCTTGCACGGGGTTTAAGATTCCAGGCATCTTCCACCTCAAGGTGGCCCGGTCTGTGTTTTGAATATTGGGCATTTCAGCAGAGGTACAGTGGTCTCTCCTTGTTGTTCTAAATTGTACTGCCCTAACGACACAAGATGATGAACATTTTCTCATGCACTTACTTGCTATCCGTCTATGTTCTTTGGTGACGTGTTTGTGCAGGTCTTTTGTCCACTTTTCAATTGGGTTATTTAATAGCATGTTGTTAAAAAAAAAATTTTTTTTAATGTTTATTTTTGAGAGCTAGAGATAGAGCGTGAACGGGGGAGGGGCAGAGAGAGAGGGAGACACAGACTCCGAAGCAGGCTCCAGGCTCCAAGCTGTCAGCAAAGAGCCCGACACGGGGCTTGAACCCACAAACTGTGAGAGCATGACCTGAGCCAAGATCCAAGAGTCAGAGGCTGAACCGACTGAGCCCCAACAATCTTTGAATTGGTGTATTTAGACCATTGATGTTTAAGTGATTGTTGAATATAGTAATACCTACCATAATTCTTCCTGTTTTCTATTTGTTTCTCTTCTTCTCTGTTACTATTTTTGCTCTCAAAGTTTCTGCCTTTTGAGGCTTCACTTTAGGCTTTCAGGTGGCTTTGCTTTTTCTCCTTTCTCAGCCTATTAATTATACTTTTCTTAGGGTTTATGTTTTTAGTGGGAGCCCATTTGCAATATATATTTATCACGCATCCAAGTCCACTTTGGAAGAGCTGTTTAGCATTTCCCATATAGTGCAAGTATGTCTCAGTGAGAAAATACCCCTGGTTCCTTCCACTGACTTGTACGTAAGCGTTCGTAAGCACAAGTGTGTTTATATGACTGTATCCATTGTATCCATGTAATCATACACCGTGCAATCATGTGTGTTTATCTCAATGCATGGATACGTTCACATATGCGTAAGTACATTGTTGCTTGCAAATTTATCCCGTAGATTAAGCATGAGAAAAATAAAAGTTTTATGGTATCTTCACTTAGTCCTTCTCTAATGCTTGTCCTTTCTTTGTGAGCGTCTGAGTTTCTGACCTTTATCTTTTTCATTCTGTCTTAAAGAACATTTTTTTTCACACATTTCTTATAAGACAGGTCTGCTGGCAACAAATCCCGTAAATTTCTTCAAATCCCTTTAAAAAAATTTTTTTTAAATGTTTTACTTATTTTTGAGAGAGACAGAGCATGAGTAGGGGAGGGGCAGAGAGAGAGAGGGAGATGTAGAATC